AGTCGTTTCACTGAAAAGAGCTCGGAGGGCAGTGAGAATGAACACTGAAGCTTCAGAGTAGATTACTAAACAATGGGGGGAAAATCAGCAAAGCAAAGGAAGCTGCACACACAGGTAATCATACCTTCAAGTGACTCTTTCACAATCAATGTTTCTAAATTCCCTGAAATTGTCTGTAAAGTGCCCACAGGTGTGAATTTAAATATGTCCACGTATGTCAGAATGGCAGAAAAGCACACGATGAGCGTGTAATGCACCCTGCCTTCAGATACAGAGCGTGCTGGCACTGGCTGCAGCCCACCTAAGCATCAAAACGATAGGCATGTCAGGTACGGACGGACAGTAATGGACACTAATAATATAATTGATAGCAGACCAGTGATGTTGAGAGAAAAATTAGAAATCATGTCGAACATGTGTCACAGTTGGTAGTTGTGATGCAGTTGGTGTACTGCTGGGCATTTAATCAGCTCCTGCACCGACACATAGAACAGGCCACAACAGGTGTTTCTACAACCTCACGCTTCATTAAAGAGAATCCAAGGCAATATAATAAACTAATCAAATTGATGTTCTGTCTATGTAGTATCATTAACAACTTGAAAAACAACATCTGCATTATTCTACTTATAGAATAATGAAATTTTTATTATTTTTATGGTTTTTTGCCATTTTTTCTGCATAAAGCTTAACTTCAGTTCTTTTCATAAATATAAAATAGTTATTACTTTTAAAAATGTTAACCCTTTAAACACCAGTTTAATAGTAGAGTCTGGCGCATGTCATTGATTCACATCAACATTGATTATAATGCATTGTTATTTTTGTGCAGGGAGAGCAAAAACATAAAAACTCCCTCTCAGCTTGTTCGTGGCCAAAAATGGCCACCCCTTGTTTACATTTACAAAATGCTATAAAATTCATATATATTGAGAAAAATTTCCACTTGTTTTGACTTGATTTTTTAGATTAGCATCAGTGCTGTTCATTAAAATCAAAATTTCATTCAAATTCAGAATTTTAAGCCTTTAAATACCAGTTAGATCACATAATCCTAGGAACTCATAAATGGAAAACATCATAAAACCCCAATTTTTTTTCAAAAAAATACATGCCATCTGATTTCTTTTCCAACCATGATGGAGGTTAGATGTGTAGCAATAATTAACAGTATCAATGAATTTTATGCTTCTTTGTTTTTTTGTGCAGTGACAGAAGAACAAAAAAACTCCCTCTCAGCTTGTTCGTGGCCAAAAATGGCCACCCCTGTTTATGTTACAAATGTCTATAAAATTCATATATAAAACATTTTTCTACTTTCATTGACTTGATTTTTTTAAATTAGCACCAGTCCTAGTCATGAAAACCAAAATATAATTCAAATTCAGATATTATACCCTTTGAATACCAGTCAGATTATGTATTATTACTACGCTTTTGGGGGAAAATAGTAATAGAGTTACATTTTTTAGCATATGAATGATGAAACCTAATTTTTTTTTTTATCATCATCGCAGGTCAGTAACAGTAACAATGTTACGGGGGGGGTTGAATGAATGGCCAAGAAGAAAATCACAATTTTATATTCCAGTGTGTGCTTCTGTGTTCATCCTCATTAGCAGCAAGATGTACTAACCACAGTAGAGTGGTTTTTGTAGCACACTTTCTACACCTGGTGCAAGGGGCTGCTGTTCCAATCCTGGAGGGCCACCTTTTGCACCTTCTGGGTCAGACTACTGTATCTTGAGATCAATGGCAGAAGTGACTGAGAATCAGGGACAAGGGCGTCTTGCAGTTGTTGAGGTCACCAGCATGTGCCCCAGCTCTCCCAGGATCACTCTTCATTTGTAGGTTGTAGAGGACCCCCACTTCAGTAAAGTTGTTTCTGGCGGGACAAAGGCATCATATCCCAAGACATCCAGGAGATTGGAGAAAAAAGCCAGCAGCCATCAGCTAGTTTTCCTTCTACAACTCGAGGTGCCAACATCCTCTCTAAGTTATCCAAGCTGTTTTTGTGCCTATTGTAGTCCAGGATTGCTTCTTGCTTTCACGCATCCTTTATACCCCATCACTGACTGCTGGTTCCTTGTGTGTTGCTGTCAAAAGAAGCACATTC